CGGCGGCGGCGGCGCACGTTGCGAGGAACGCCCGCCGCCGCGGGCCACCCGGGCCGGCGCACGGCGACGCCGCCGCCGCCGTCGACGACTTGACCCTTCGCCCCTGCGCGCGTGGCGTCGCGACGCCGGAGCGAGGGGCGGTAAGGGGACGGCGCCCTGAGGCGACGCGCGGGAACGGCGCTGTACATGCCGTGCTCTGGGCTCACTCTCGGCTCGAGTTGTGTTCCTCCACGCTCCGCAGGTAGCGTCGTGAAGTTCTGTCTCCGTGTAGATGCTAACCGCTCCGAGGGAGTTCTGGGGTGGAGGATGTGGTTTCCAGTTACAGTGCAAGTAATATTTCTGTTTGAATGTCTGGGTTGAGTTAACTCATCCATTTGAAATGTATATTGAACCATTATCGATAACGTTTCGAATACATTTTTCCAGATACTATTTTATCGAATGATTCAATATTTTAATACCTATTTCCACGAATTCATTTTTCCAAATTCATTTTTCATGATACGAATTCTCATATGTTTGTTCTCAAGAAAGCTGTTGATACAATTATTTGAATTTTGAGGAATCTTCCTCAGCATCTAAATATTTGAATAGTTTTACATTTTGTCCACTACTCAATAATTTGCATATTGCTGTGGGTACTCTAAAGATACTTGGTCTTTGCGTTGCAAATAATTGTATTTAAATATTAACCGTCAAATAGGTATGTGAACTGCCAATAGTTGAGTGCAAAACAAAGGAATTTTCAAACGAAGTCTTCGAAAACAAACTTAGGCAAAATTCGTTCTATAACCGTAAATCATTAACTGAACTGAAATATCTACTCCACTATTATCAATAAATGCTTGCTGGTGAAACATTTTTGATGTTTGACTTCAAAGATAACCAAAACTCGTTAAGCCAAAATTAGCCGCTGCATACACCATCGTTTTAAAATTCGAACATTTTAAAAATAAAGATACTTAAATATTGTATTATCCAACCTTCGGAAAACTTAAAAATCAGGATAATAGTTTTGGGTAAATAAGTCTGCGATTTTTTAGGTGATTTAGCAATTTTGAAAAGATCATTACGGAATATAGATGTGAGGTAATATTCAGTAACTCAACTATACTGGTGAACCGAAGTCTAAGATGAGGTTTAAAGTCGAATCACAGACGACGTCATTAAAAGTTCTCGTATCTCTTACGTTCATGAGATATCGTTTCATAAAAATCGCCTTCGAATGGTATTTATGCCTGTGGTGTTATAAGTGTTGCGATACCTTCTGAGCTGAGCATTTATATTTATTAAAATATATTATTATAAAATAAAAATCAGTTGCATACTAAAGAGGGACGGAGATCTACGATGGATTTCAGAGGAGTTTCTTCTTCTATTTTTGTTTAAGGAAGAAGTTACTGTTGCTCATTGCTTAGGTCTTTTATTATTAGAACCCTTATCAGCATCGTCTTATAACACGTATCAGATACTTATACAAAAATTCGAAACCACATCAATGCATTATGTGAAACTTCCTGCGGCCTATTACAGTCACGCCTACCCATAAACACGTTCACATTTCATTTTAGCACCTGCCGATGTATTTCACAGTTGTGCAATACAGCAATAAAGTGCAAGTTGAGTCAGTTCTTACAAAAAATGGCGTGACCGTGTGCGTCTCCCCAGTAAGAACCGCAATTACAGAAGCTTTCAAAATATATATATTTCCTTCGCATATTTAAAAATTGAAAATATTTTTAAACTTTGTGGAAAATGTTCCGAACGCTTCATGAAAAGAACCCTGAAAATCAAAATAATGATTTCAAATTCAAGGGAGTCACGACATCAAGCAGAGAGATTGAGAAATATTAATTTTGATGATAACCCTTCTTATGGTTTTGCCGCTAGTGTGTACAGACAACGGCCAGACGTTATGGCGTCAATCCAAACGTGGATTCTGACTACACAATGTGTTACAGAAAATGTAATACATACTTGAACAATATTTATCCAGTTTTTCGTTACTAGAGCCCAGAATAAGAGTTTTTGTGTCGTAAATTCGCCATTTTTTCCCTCAGTATTACAAAACTTTCTGTATACTGCGTAAGCAGTTGCGAGAAAATAACAATGGTTGTGATATATTGTTAAATACATGTATGATGAGTTGTTAAATATAAAAATATCCTTCGATTAGATTCAAATTTATTGTGGGGTCTACCGTCGACACCTCCCACAATTAGTGATCTTAGGAACCGGAATGACGTTAGTATGCGATTATTAAGACGTCATCGCCTTGATTTTTATTATTCGTCGTAGATAAACTTCGTTGTTCGTTCTAACTCGTAGTGTGTATAGGGTCGTCTCAAGGTACGCAAGAAAATACATATTCATATTTTTGAATTCACTTCGAGTTGGTTCTTTTCCCTACTGACTTCCCATCAGTATTATGGGAGAGATATGAATGTTTTCACATATTAAAATATTCCTCAATATTTGAGCATATATGATAAATATTTGAGCAAATATGATAATTACTTTAGCAAATATGATAAATATTTTAAACATGCAATGAATGTGATGAAGTTTGTTGAGAAGGTACTTGTGATAAAGTATTTCGTATAGAATAAAGAGTAAATTCTAATTGATAGATTTTGAAAACAGTTTTTGAAATTGATAGTTTTTTATTCTAAGTGGTATTCAATAAAATCTCAGTTTCTGTTAGCACGAACTGAACAGTTAAAAACACCTAAGTAGTTTTGCTAGGTACTATTGGTGTAGAGAAAGTATTTCATTTTTTTGTAAATGACGAATTAATAATTAAAAAAGGTGCGTATAATTCGGGGTTGGAGGGTCATATCACATGAAAGAAATTTGCCCCACATTTTTCAGATACTAACTAGTTTTTACTTCGTGTAAATCGCCAGGGTTTTCTAATGTCATCTTAGGCGATTCGACAACATGTTTATCATATTCTAATTTATGCCCACTGAATTTATATCCAACTCTGATAAGTGGTTTGAGATTTTCTAAAATTATGATCAATCTGTTGATAGTGCTTCGTTTGTAGTTTATATCGGAAAGTCAGAAAAGGCGAGTAGTAAGTGTACATAGAGGTACAAATAAGCTGCGAAATTAAAAGGATCAGAGAAGGAGCAGTCGGCCATGAATAGCAGCGTTAGCGTTTTCCTTCCTAACCCTGTTTAAAACATAATTTAAAGTAATTAATTTAAATGTTTCAATTCTAAAAATATCTACACTTTTACGCTATGAAAATATATCTAAACCATTCGCTTAGTTGCACTTGGAGCTTTTTCAATACAATATACTGAATACTTGTGAACAATTAATCCTGTTAGTTTCTATCATCATCTGAGGAATGCATTTTTCTCATTCATGTGTAATATCATTTTTACTCTCCAGTATACATATTATAAGTTATACATATTTTAATGATGAGTTGAAACATTAATTTAATGAATAATTTTGTAAATATTTGTAGTTATCACTGTCAGTATTAAATTTTATGTTATTAAACTTGGTGAGTCAATGGTACTTTCTGTACCCATCAAAATATTATGAGAAAAAATAATATTAATACATACAAAGCATGTTTTCATTTTTAATAACAAATGTTTATAGACTATTTTATAATATGTCTTTATATTCTGTAGAATCGAATTGGAGGTTTCAAAGCAATACTCATTACGTCTCTTTATGCGTGATCAAAAAATGAATTTTTACTATTAATTACATTGAATTTATATAGTAATTTATTAGTAGCAGTGTATTAATTCACTGTATGATTGACATGCTCATAGACCCTGTAAATATTTTCACTGCATCAATAGCGCACACATATAAACGAATTCATCACTTTAAAGGGCACCACGACGCAAAATATCTCCCCCTGCACGAAAAACCAACGTTAATGGCTTGCTCGCCGTGGCAGGGAGGGAATGAAATTTCGGCATGTTTTGTAGCGCACTTTTCTCCGATGTATGATTCCTTTCAGGCACGTCAATACACCGGCAGCACGCTGTCACCCCGTGGAGGGAAAAACCGCTTTAGCTGGCGCGACAGAGTGGACGTCGCCGGGCGAAATGGAGGGGGGAGGGGACGTCGAGGTTTCCAGGAAGCCGAGGACCTGCCGGGCGAGGGGCGAGGGGGAAAGAGGATTGGAGCGGGGCGCAAAGAGTGGTCAGCGCCGGGAGGAGGCGGGGGCGTATTGGAACTGGGAGGCAGAGGAGTGTGGATGGCGAGAGAGGGTGCGATAACGATGATGGGAAGGACGGAAAATGGCGAGGATGAAAAGATTGGAAAGAAAAAAAAGAAAAAAACGGTGGATGGCATCCGTTGGAGACTGTCGAGAGATGAGGGTGGGATGAGGGCGTAGTGACGGTCATGCGAGAATGTGTGTGTATATGTGTGGGTGTGGAAGTACATTTCTCTACAATACGTGAGGAAGCGTCTAGAGTAATGAGAAAAGTAATTTACGTTGATTGATGACTTCCAATGAATATCATTTGTAAAAACGTCCACCCTTCGAATATCTTTCGATCGTTAAGTTGTATATACTTGACTTATTAAATAATCAATGGCGGAATATAATTGAATAGAAATTAGTTTGAAATAATTCATGATTTCTAAGTTTATTTTTATTACATAAACAATGTTCCTTTTAGTTTTCACAAGTTGATGTTAAAAGCAACTAAAATAAATTGTATTTCATTATGAGATTTGAGACTAAAACATTTCATTTTTACGTCAGTGAATATCTACAAAGGTGTAAATTATTACAGTTTAACATGTATTTTGGAAATTTCTGTAAGGTGTGGTTGCGGCAGAAGTGGAAATGATCAATTATCCTTGTCAACAGTCCGTTTTGATAACCAATCTGTTGGCTTTGATGACCCCCTTCATTGCGTCTTAGCATTTTTACAACGCCCAAAAAGCGCTACTGCTGTGATCCGGAAATACAAAAGACGGGGGCTGCCGCGCTCGCTCATAAACACCACATCCCTTTGTGCACATACAGAGTTCTACAAAAATCCAAGGAGTTTACACGGAGCAAAGAATGGCTTCATAACTGAGAGGAATTTAAAACAATAGTTAATATTTTTGAAGACTACTTCACCACTAAAAAATACTGAGCATCATTAATATTCTATTATCATATTTTTTCTTTCTGGGTCTTTTTGCAGCTTCAGGGAATGTTGGTGTCAACAATGCGTGCCAGGTACCCACTACATCCCTCGGGAGACACATTTTAACCATTACACTAGACACATACATGTAGGTTCCTCGGTTTGTGGTCAACAGTTTCATAAGTCCTTCCGTGACAACACGCATATATTAAAGACAAAGGACAAACATCCAAGCCCACGGCGGGACTCAAACTCGCGACCATTCACACCGAGGCGGTGCGCCAACACACCTTCTAGCTACCTTAGATATGCAGGTCGGCAATATCCTATCATCAAAATCTATCTATATAATATCATCTCATATCTATCACATAATAACAACGGGCAGAATTTGAATATATAATGTCGACGATCATTTTCGAACGTGGTATTATTTGCCTTTTACATAAAATTCTAATAATCATTGTGGACCGAAAACGAGAAATTTAAACGGCAATACATATAGCAGAGATGGAACGAATGACGCTCGGATGTGATATTGCGAGTGTTTCAAGCAGACAGAATAAGGGCGGAGGGGGGAGAATGGGGATAATTTGGCGAAGCAGAAGCAGAATAAGCAGCGGGATGAGGAACAGAAGTTATCTCTAATGGAGGGTGGTGAGAACAAGTAAGTGTAACGAGGCAGGGGCAAGTGCAAGCGGGTGCGAAGACACGCTTACGAAACGATGGGTCCTCGAACTGTGACGAGCGCGGCGGAGGGCGATTCGGCAAGGAAAAGGTACCAGGATAGAGTTCTGGTGTGCCGAGG